GAGAGAGAGAGAGAGAGAGAGAGAGAGAGAGAGAGAGAGAGCAAGAGAGAGAGAGAGCAGCTGCTTTACAATTAGGAAATACTACAGAACAACCCAACATGGCTCCATGGCAATTTGGTGGCATTGCTGATCTATAAGTAAAAACACAGGGTGGAAGGAAAAGCTAGATGCCCCTCAACACATTTCAGACATCCTTAGTTACCAGAAACATTTCTGATTCAGGAGAAGTCAGACGATGCTAATACAGGTTTCTGGTCAAGCTTGTAATTGGAGAACCACAAATTGTAAAGATGTCCTTTTACCCTCTCCTGTATTTGTGAGCACATTTGAAACCATTAATCCTATTTTACTGAGCCCTTATTTTTTTCTAGAAGCTCAGGGATTTTGCAGTCCCTGACAGAACAGTTTGTAGTTAATTGGGGAAAATGGTACTTGGGATTGGGGGGATTTAAATTTTAGCCTAGACTCCCACACAAGAACCCCCATGGTTTTTCCTCAAGATCTCATTTATTTATTTATTTGACGATGCAGAAATGGAGACCTGGGAAAGTTAATGACCTACTGCAAGGGTAGGAGTAGAAGGAAAATCCAGGCTTTGTTATGCCTAGGTTCCACACTAGCTCTCAGAGTATTTTCTTACTTGTGATATATGTATCAACAGAAACTACTAAATAGATACGATTTCTTTAGAATAATCTTTGATCCAATACTCTTCTATACCAATAGTACAGCTTCTCTCTTTCTTTTAATCGATTATAAGGAAGTTTCTGTACTGCCACTTCAGGTGGGCTCAGTACAATTCAAAATTGAAGGCTACAATAATTGTATTTTAAATTGGTCAATTTCAGGGCAATTTTTTGTGTGTAATTGAGTTCCTTCACACCTATTATTCACTACCAATTTTACCCAATCTAGTTTTACCACACACCTGTCTCATTGTGTTGACTTATGCACAGTTAGAAAACAGCAAATCAGCAGGTATTTGCCACTACTCATCGTTACTTCTCCCTCCTCTACATACACACACACACGCACACACACACACACACGCACACACATTCATACACACACCATCTGCTGCTTGTTCCTACCTCTTGAGTTTTCTTCCCTACACAACTAGAAATAGGGACAAAGAAGAGGAAGTGTATATATATATATGAGGGCTGGGCTGAACAAGTAACTTCATAAGTAGTGTTAACTAGACATAAACTGAGAGAAAAGCTCCTTTTCTCTTCATTGTTTCGGAAAGGATAGCCATTAGCATGACTGCTTTGTGTCCTTATGGACTTTAGTATTAGCCTAGACTGGAGCATATAGTTTTCTAGCTGGAAGGAACCTTTAAAAATACATCATCTCTCCAAATTCTTCATTTTCAGGCCAGGAAATGGAGATGCAGAGGTAAAATAATTTCCCCAAGGTCACACATTTGGCCAACAGCAGGGCTGGGATTAGAATCCATACCTTTTCCCTCTTATTCCAAGGCCTTTCCCCAGTAACCAGTATTGCCTTCCACTAGGCTCCTGAGAATTCTTTTCCAGGGTCATGTTGCATCTTGGAGCCATATACTGCTGTCTTGATCTCAGTGGAACATCCACCCGACAACCTAATATGGTCCTTTCTCCCTACATCCACATGATTCCCATTTACACGGGCTGCAGATGTCCCCAGAAAGGGAAGAATTGAGAACCAATACGAGCAATGCTCCATCCAGCTCAGGGATCACTGCTCCCACCTTGAGGTGTCCTTCAATAGACTCTAATTTCTTGCTCTGTCAAAATGTTACTGAAGCATAATCATCCCTAACAACTCACCTCATGTCATCTCATACGTTCTGGCCTTCCCAGGCTACAGGAAAGTTTCTTGTTTCCCAAGCAAGGAAAGCAGAAAGGAAGAGTAGAATAATAATTTTGTTCATCCTGACTTTCTGTAATGGTTTTTCAAACTGGGGTGGCTATCATTACTACAAGGATTTCTTTTAAAATATGTAAAACCAGGGCCGGAGATTTAGCTCAGCGGTTCGGTGGCCTGCCTTGCAAGTGGCAAGGACCCGAATTCAATCCCCGGTAC